GGTTCTCCCAGCTCCCTGTCACTTCTGCCACCTCCCAGCAAGCTCTGGATATACATGCAGGAATTTTGGACTGTCTGAACAGCTCTGGAAGATAAGGAGAGAAAAAAAAATAATCTGGGTTGATGAGTTAGATAAATATCCCGGAGTGCACATCCATGAACCAGCACAGAAATGGACATGGGGAGCTCGGTATCAGGGACTGTGACTTGTATTTAACTTGGATTAACTATTTATTAACTCTTAGTTAATACAAGCGGTGCGCTGTCTCCCTCCCGCTGCTGTACAGCTCTGCGAGTGCTCTCTGCAGCTCCAGGCAGGGTGGAACTGAGCTGGAGGGCAGCGAGGTGAGGAAAGGGGACAGAACAGGCTGGGGGGACGCGCAGGATCGGCGGAACAAGGTGCGGAGCAGCTGGTGCCACTTTGTTTCTGGAGGTCAGCAGGCAACGCATGGGAGCAGCGAGGATGAGACGTGGTGTGGTGAAAACAGGGACAAAGTATGGGTAGAATCAGGCAGAGTCTTGATGGAATAGGTGAAATAAGGTGATAGAAAGAGAAAAACTCCAAAGCTGTGTGTCCAGAAGGCATCAGGTAAATGCCGCAGCTCCTGCCGGAGATTCCTCTTTGCCTTTTCAGCTGGCAGGACCATCCTGGCCCATCTCTTTTTGTGTTACCAAGTTTGTATGTGCCTGTTTTTTCCAAAGCAGCAAAAAAAAACTTTGTGTGTCCAGTATGTTTGCTGCCTGGCAAAGGCAAAGCTGACCTTGACACAAACGCCTGGTTCTCTCTCCTCTTTTAGCAGCGTCGCCCGTAAGCTGAAAAGCTGGCCAGCACAATGGGAAAAAAACAGAACAAGAAGAAAGTGGAAGAGGTCTTAGAGGAAGAAGAGGAGGAGTATGTGGTGGAGAAGGTCCTGGATCGGCGAGTGGTAAAGGGCAAAGTGGAATACCTGCTGAAGTGGAAAGGCTTCTCGGAGTAAGTGCCTCCCTGCCTGCTGCTGCGGGGTGGGTGCTGGGCGGCTCTGGCGTGAGCAGCTCTTTGCCTTTGGCACCCGAAGCCTCTCCGGGCAGGTGGCTCAGGCTCCTTGTGCCTCTCCTCGTTTGTCAAATGGAGCTAACAGGCCAAGGCGAGCTTTGATGATGAAAACTCTGGTTCTAAATGCCTCGAGCTCTAATCAGGGTGATGAGAGCACAGCCTGGGTGACAAAGTCGCGCTTCTGTCTTGTGAACAGGCTGTGCAGTGCCCTGGTGGGGCTTCCACCTCTTTAACCTACCATGGAACAAGCAGACAGATAAAATGAATTGTATTTCTCTCCTGGGAAGGGAAATAACTGCCCTGCCCTCTGGCATCCCTGCCTGGATCAGGGCAGTGTCCTGTTTCTTGGGGTGAGGACACCCGCATCCGGGCTCCTGCTTCTCTCAGCATCTCCTGGTGTCCAGGACTTGTCCTGGCAGGGAAGGCCGCAGTGAGTATGTAACACTGCGCTGTTGTCTTTGATTGCAGTGAAGATAACACATGGGAGCCAGAGGAGAACCTGGACTGCCCAGACCTCATTGCGGAGTTCCTTCAGTCCCAGAAAACCGCACACGAGAGCGAGAAGTCGGAGGGAAGCAAGCGCAAAGCCGAGTCTGACTCGGAGGATAAAGGGGAGGAGAGCAAACCAAAGAAGAAAAAGGAGGAGGTGAGGCAGGGTGGGGTTTTGTGCTCACCCCCTACCCCTGCGTTTGGCCTGGTGCCTCGCAGCTGGAGCAGCCACGCTCCAAAACCTCAAACTGTTCTCCTGCGTGGAGGGGAAATCATTGCACTTCAGTGAGACACAGCTGAAGAGCTTTTGAAAAGCTGTAGCTTTCGGAAGGGGGCATGAGCTGTTGTCTAAGCCAGGTCTCTTCATGAATCCAGACCTAGTTGTAGCACTAAATTGCAAGGCTAGTTCTTGAACCGAAAGGGTGTGGAGCCCTGGCTTCTCTTGAGGAACCGCCCAAGGGGTGAAACAGGAGGCAGGGGGTTGCCTGTTGCCCCTTCAAGAGGGGGAACAAGGTGGAGCAGAGAGCCTCCTGCTCAAGGTGCTCATACCTGCTTTGGAAAAGGGACAGCGAAGAGGCTCTGCAGTCTGGATTTTATCCCAGGAGCTGCTGAATCTTGGCCAGCAGGAGAGTTTGACCAGCAGCACCCTGGGAATCAGCTCCTTGGCGTGCAGCACAAGCAGGGCACTGCGCTGTGCCGCCCAGGCCTGGCAGGAGGTGGTCTCGGTGCCGTGGGCTTACACCTGAGTGACCGTCACAGTCCCCTGCTGGCTTTAGTAACGATAGTCTGAGCATCTGCTGTGCAGAGCCTTTCTGGACGGCCACCAGCGTGTCCTGGTGACCAGCAACAGCTGTGCCTGTCACCCTGCGATGCTACAAGTGGAAACTTGTCTCTTTTCAGTCGGAGAAGCCGCGAGGCTTTGCCCGGGGATTTGAGCCAGAGCGAATCATCGGTGCCACAGATTCCAGCGGGGAGCTCATGTTCCTGATGAAGTGGTGAGTGTGCCTTTGTGTCTGTCACTTCTTCACTTATTCTGTGCCAGAGAGGGAAGGACCTGCACCTGGGGAGTCCCTGCTACCTGGCATGAAATCTCTCGCGATGGCGCTGCCGCCTGAGGTGACCCTCTGCGCTGAGGCTAACGCGGATGTGAAACGAGCAGGTAGGGCCCTCGGGATCGTGCGGCTCTTAAGATGTCCCCCCGCAGCAAGTGGGAGCTTGGGGAGAGAGAGGGGCATGGTGTTACGGTGCGGGCTGCAGATCCGGAAGGCTGCACCCAGAGGAGAGCCGTGACGATGACCGCATCCCCTTCGGCTGTAGTGACACAGGGCTTGTTGCTGGCACAGGTGGGAGCCAAACCAGTCCGGCGTCGGTGTGGGAGCCAGTGGTTTTTGCACCGTCTCAGAAGTACAGAGTGGCTGGAGGCAGGGCCGCAGCTTTGATTCGGTTTCTCTCCCCATCCCTGACGACTCAGAGCTGAACTCAGGCTGGAATTTTTCCTGGGCTCACGTGCTGCTTCTCCCTGCTCCAGAGCCACTCAGAAAGGGGTCGCTTGGATCCCCCGAGCAGCTCAGGGTCTCCGTTTACCTGCCACTTCTTGATTTTTCTCCGGTCTCCACCTCTTCCACCTCCCCTCACAGCCCCCTAACTTACACCTCTGCTCTGGCCTGTAGGAAGAACTCCGACGAGGCCGACCTGGTCCCTGCCAAGGAAGCCAACATCAAGTGTCCCCAGGTGGTCATCTCGTTCTATGAGGAGAGGTTGACATGGCATTCCTACCCCTCAGAGGACGATGACAAGAAAGAGGACAAGAACTACCCCCCCTGGCACCCACTCTGGCCAGCCTTTGTATAAAGATCTGAACTGTGGGTTTGAGCAAGAGGGAGAGAACGCAGCTCTGCTCGCTTGGGAGCGTAGCGATGGCGGGAGAAGATGCCCTTTGAAGAGACCAGTATGGTTTCTGTGCCCTGCAGCTGCTCCACTGCTTTCTGCAGCTTCATGCTGTGTCCAGATTCAAACCAGCCCGGCTTAATTTTGGGAAGGGGGGTAGGGTGGGAGGGAAGGGCAGGGGGGATACTGGGAGGGGTTGGCGGGGAAATCGGGGTGTTTGGTTCAAGGCTGTCGATTTTGCAGCTTGTGGGAGAGGAAGCAAAGCCCCTGCCATGAAGGACTCACTGGTGATGGGTGGGCTGGGGAAAGGGAGTGCAGAGGGATACTGCTTATTCTTCAAAGACCATCTCAGCAACCCACAGCCTTCTTCCCGATAGTGTTAACTCTGCATTTTTACGGCGTAGCATGTGTGTAGGTTTGTTTTTTTGTTTTGTTGTTTTGTTTTTGGTTTTGTTTTTTTTTCTTCTTTTGCTATTTAC